ATCTTATGCCAGTTACAATGGCAATCATTAAAAAATCTGGAGACAACAGATGCTGGAGAGGATGTGGAGAAATAGGAACACTTTTACACTGTTGGTGGGAGTGTAAATTAGTTCAACCATTGTGGAAGACAGTGTGGTGATTCCTCCAGGACCTACAAATTCCATTTGACCCAGCAATCCCATTACTGGGTATACATCCAAAGGACTATAAATCATTCTACTATAAGGACACATGCACACGAATGTTCACTGAAGCACTGTTTACAATAGCAAAGACCTGGAATCAGCCCAAATGCCCATCAATGATAGACTGGCAGGGAAAATGTGGCGCATATACACCATGGTATATTATGCAGCCATCAAAAACGATGAGTTTCTGTCCTTTGCAGGGACATGGATGAACCTGGAGAACATCATTCTCAGCAAACTGACACAAGATCAGAAAATGAAATATCGCATGTTACCACTCATAGGTGGGTGTTGAACAATGAGAACACATGGACACAGGGAGGGGAGCACTACACACTGGGGTCTGTTGGGGGGAATAGGGGAGGGACAGTGGGGGGTGGGGAGTTGGGGAGAAATTGCATGGGGAGAAATGCCAGCTACAGGTGAAGGGGAGGAAGGCAGCAAATCACACTGCTATGTGTATACCTATGCAACTATCTTACATGTTCTTCACATGTACCCCGAAACCTAAAATGCAAAAAAAAAAAAAAAAACTTGTGGAAAAAAAAATACTACCTCTAAGTAGAAGACTAAGAGGAGCAGGGTAAAGAAAGACTTCTACAATTTATGTACTTTTGTATTTCAATATTTTACATAATTAAGATGCAGTCATACATAACTGTTAAGAAACATGTACACTATTATTATTATTATTATTATTATTTTGAGACAGAGTGTCACTCTGTCGTTCAGGCTGGAGTATAGTGGCATTATCTCAGCTCACTACAACCTCCACCTCTTGGGTTCAAGTGATTCTCCTGCCCAGATAATTTTTGTATATTTTTCACCCTGTTGGCCAAGCTGGTCTGGAACTCCTGATCTCTAGTTATCCGCCCACCTTAGCCTCCTAAAGTGCAGGGATTACAGGCTGTACACCATTTTTTAAAGTTTTGAGCAAGGTTTAGCCCAATGAAGAAGTGAGAGAGGGTGTTGTAGGAAGAAAGAACAATGAATAAGGAGGCAAAAGGACAAAGCTTCAGCATTTCCTCCTCTGTAGGCCTTCCTTCCCATGCTCATCCGTTCCTCTATTCACTGCTACTGCCTCAGGCCCCTCCAAATCCTGTAGGTATTCCTAATGCAGAAGTTATAACAAGTAATGTCACTTATCTATTTACAAATATGATTCCTCCAACTAGACTGTAAACTACTTGTAACCCTAGCTCCTAGGACATTGCCATGCAAAGAAAAGGCAGGCATCCAGGTAATTGATAAATGAGCAAATGAATTAATGAATGTATAGTAGATGGATGGATGTAGAGTCTTCTTCTTTTTTTTTTTTTTGTAGAATGTGATTTATTTAAAGAGAGAGAAACAGGAGAAGGAGAGAGAAAGAAACAGCTAACTCTTACACTGAGAGAATCCAGAAAGATAGAATCCAGGAGAGGAAAGCAGCTTCCACACTGAGTGGAAGGGAACAGAAAGAGAGATGGAGTTTAGAAGGAGAAGATAGCCTTCCATGAGAGAGTGTGGAAGGGGACTCCAGAGGGAAAATCCAGGATAGAGAAAAGCAGCTTCCATGAAGGGAGTGTTTGTGGAAGGGTACCCAAACATGGAGTCCCAGATATAGAGTCTTCATTAGACAAGTTTGGTTGTAAAAGTGCAAAATAATTCCAATATACAGCACTGTCCACCCTTGTGTTGGGGTTAATGAGTCGGGGGTCAAAAATATTCTGAGTTAACACCAGCCCAAAGCTCTGTAATATTTAGTCACACGAATTCAAAAAGAGCAGCACTATAATGAAGACTCAAATACGACATTAAACATAAGCACTGATGGCATACTAAAATAAAGTATGGACTTGTGATTTCACGTAGCCTTTAATATACTTTTTACATCATTTATTACTGCTTCCACCACTCCATTATGTGGAGAATGATTCTCTAAATTGCACGTACATGTTCTGAAAGCTACGCTGAAATTTGTAGTACAAATGCTTTAATATTAAACATCTGAAATTTTATTTTATTTTTTTGCTCATTTAATTAGCTTAACCAATGAGGCTAATTACCAATGGTTTTCATTAAAATCTTGATAATTATTGTCCTGAAGTTTTCCTGCCAGGCACATAGTATGTGCTGGTTTCATTATTCATTTCCTAATATCCCTTAAGATAAATTTACAAATGATTTACATTTGGAAATCCCTTAGGTACTTTTTAACAAGAGATTGTTTTTTAACCCCTAAACCTCAAGAAAACCACCTCAGAAAGATCTTTACTGGTTACACCCTGTGCTTCTCTAAGAGCTACTGTCATAATGGGGTAAGTTTATTTCACATGTTATTAAGTGAAAAAACAGATATAGGATTTGTATGTTAAAACAGTTCCACCTCTCTTCTAATTGTGAAAACTTTGTTATGTGGGAAGATGATATTTTTTGGAATTTTGTTGTAGTCAAGATGAGTCAGCACATTTTGGTTATTACCATTTATGAGGCAACTACGAGTCTAGGCAGTGGCTTGCCTCCTCACTTAGTGCTTTATCTGGGAGTATTCAGGAAGTTGGGAAGACTAGATTCAAGTACTACTTTGTTCACACGAGAATTACCTCCATTTGAAAGACATTTGAATGTTAGGTATTTTTTTTTAGGAGTGATTGTTGGGGAAATTACCCCCTAGGGTGAGCTCCAGGTCAGACATGGGGGATGGAGTGGGATAGGAACAGTTGGTCAGCTCAAGGGGCAGTTTCAAAGGGGCTCAGGACCCAACTATATTGCATATGTATTGTTAGAGACAGAATGCTTGTTCTTAGGTACTGCAAGGAAAAGTCAGCATTCAGACAAAAATTTTTCTCAGCAAGGCGATTTTACTTTCTGCAGAAAGGGTACTACTTGCTAGCAGTCTTGCCATGAGAGTACAATGAACCAAGAAAAGGCAGGCATATTTATTCTTTATGCATTAAGTCTTTACTGCTGTGTCTGAGCTCTGTTGGTTGGAGCTAGACTTCACAATCTAAACTGAACTTGATTGGCTAACAACTTAAAACTTTTCTAAATTGGTAAAAGCAACGGAGAACAAAGGAAAAGAGGAAGTCTAAAAGAAAGGAAGAGGAAGTTGCTTGTGAAAGACTTAGAAAGTAATAAATATATTAGTTAAAGTTCAAGAACATAGCATGTACTATGTGCCTGTGAGCACATCTAGCACAAATATCATGGTTAAAGTACAAGGACATAGAATGCACTTATTCTTTTTATATCTAACAGCTACATAGGATAGGACTTAACAAAAAGTTAACTGACAAAAAGCAAGAAGGCTTTGAAGAAAGTTAGTCTTTAAAAGAAACTATTATTGCTAACATTTATTATTACTATTCTTTAACAAGAAGGGAAACTTTGAAGAGGAACTTTTACTTTCTTTTTTTTTTTACCACCCCCCCCCCCAGAACTTTTACTTCCTATATGTATATAAATTCTGTGTGAAGATTTAATTTCATTGGCCCTTTGGAGAAAGGGAATGCTGGAAAAAGAGTTTTTACTCTAGGCAGTAGGAACTTGCTCTTGGCAGCACTGCACAGTTCAAATCCTCCTTCATCAATAAGGTCTATCCCAATTATACTCCATCTTCTTTATTTCCTGATGCACAACAGTGCTGTCCAATAAACCTTCTGCCATCAGGACCCACTCCATAGCATGCTGGTCCCAGTGCCAGATAAAAATGCAGGACCTCTTGTTAAAAAGCTATTACAACTACTCAAGACAACAACAGCAAGGTATTAACCAAGCCTGGACCCTCCTAGGCTTGGAGCCCTTTGAAACTACACATCACATGTCCATGAAGCTGGCCCTGCCTGCAATGCTGGAATCGTTTTATGTGCACTATCCAGTATGGTAACCACTATACTAGCCACGTGTGGCTACTGAGCACTTGAAATATGGCCTATAATTGAGGAACTAAACTTTACTTCATTTTCACTGAAATTGCTGCATGTGGTTAGTGGCTACCATATTCAACAGTGTAGCACCAAATAGATTATAAATTGTTTGGGGTAATTTAGTCAATCTCACTGTTGTTCAGGTTTTGTCATCTGTAAAATGGTGTAATAATAGTACCTACCTCCCAGAGTTATTTTGTGAATTAGTTATCCTATCTAAAGTTCTCACAATTATACCTGGTATATAACAATTGTTAGCTTTAATATTTATTATTATAAACATAATCCATTTTTTTTTTGCAAGTATTTGCTCCTCTGGGAAAAATCCAGCAAGTTGTGGTAATTTGACATTGTCAAAGACTAGTTCAAACTGGGTGCGGTGACTCACACCTGTAATCCCAACACTTTGGGAAGCTGTGGTTGGTGAATCACTTGAGGTCAGGAGTTAGAGACTACACTGGCCAACATGGTGAAACCCCATTCTATTAAAAAATACAAAAATTAGCCAGGCATGGTGGCATGCTCCTGTAATCCCAGCAACTCAGGAAATTGAGTCAGGAGAATCGCTTGAACCTGTGAGGTAGAGGTTGCAATGAGCCAAGATCATATCACTGCACTCGGCCTGAGTGACAGAGCGAGACTCCTTCTCAAAAAAAAAGAAAAGAAAAAACCAAGACTGGTTCAGCCATGAGTATAAGCTGAGGTTGGCTAGAGGTTTCAGGAAAGATTTTGAGAATCTTGGTAAACTATAAATAATTCAAATGATACAGAACTGAATAAAATAAGAAGTAAAAGTGCCCTTAAGGCACACATTTAACATTTTACCTTTTGTGTGTGTAGTAGGGTCACTAGATAAAATACTAAGTGCTTCAATAAATTTGAATTTCGGGCTTCCGCCATCTTTTTAGCCTCAGTCGGACGGGTGCGGAGACGCTTCTGGAAGGCCGCGATGGCTGCGCAGGGAGAGCCCCAGGTCCAGTTTAAACTTGTATTGGTTGGTGATGGTGGTACCGGAAAAACTTTTGTTAAACGTCATTTGACTGGTGAATTTGAGAAGTATGTAGCCACCTTGGGTATTGAGGTTCATCCCCTAGTGTTCCACACTAACAGAGGACCTATTAAGTTCAATGTGTGGGACATGGCTGGCCAGGAGAAATTCGACGGACTGAGAGATGGCTATTATATCCAAGCCCAGTGTGCCATCATGTTTGATGTAACATCCAGAGTTACTTACAAAAATGTGCCTAACTGGGATAGAGATCTGGTGTGAGTGTGTGAGAACATCCCCATCATGTTATGTGGCAACAAAGTGTACATTAAGGACAGGAAAGTGAAGGCAAAATCCGTTGTCTTCCACCTAAAGAAGAATCTTCAGTACAATGACATTTCTGCCAAAAGTAACTACAACGTTGAAAAGCCCCTCCTCTGGCTTGCTAGGAAGCTCATTGGAGACCCTAATTTGGAATTTGCTGCCATGCTTGCTCTTGCCCCACTGGAGGTTGTCATGGACCCAGCTTTGGCAACGCGGTATGTGCACGACTTAGAGGTTGCTCAAACCACTGCTCTCGCGGATGAGGATGATGACCTGTGAGAAGGAAGCAGGAGCCCAGCGTCAGAAGTCTAGTTTTATAGGCAGCTGTCCTGTGATGTCAGCGGTGCAGCGTGTGTGCCACCTCATTATTATCTAGCTAAGCGGAACATGTGCTTCATCTGTGGGATGCTGAAGGAGATGAGTGGGCTTCTGAATGAATATGGCAGTTTAAAATATACCTTCATTGTTTGGACCTGCATGTTTAGCTGTTTGGAACACAGTTGGTTCCTTGAGTTTCATATATGAGACTGCTGCAGTCACAACATAATATTTAGTGGTGAAATCTTGTTTGTTACTGTCATTCCCATTCCTTTTCATTTAGAATCAGAATAAAGTTGTATTTCAAACATCTAAAAAAAAAAGAAAATTTGAATTTCAGATAAACAATAAATAATTTCTTAGCATAAATTTGTCCCAAGTGTTGCATGGAACATACTTATACTAATGAATTATTCATTAATTATCCAAAATTCAAATTTAATTGTGTGTCCTATATTTTTATTTATCAAATTGGACAAGCCTAGATATATGGCTCCCAAAACCAATTATGTTGTAATTTCTCTGAACTCACCGAGCCTGGGCTAATTCATAATCCATGTAAAATCTGACAGAGGAAAATTATCGTCCCATTCTCCCTTATATACTATTAAACCAGGAACAGGGAGCACTTTGTTTATGAAATGGCTGTTGAATCGGATTGTCCCAGAGGTTTAATATAGAGTAGTGGTTAGGAACATAGGCAGTAGAATCAGACTTTCTAGGTTGGAATCTTAACTCTGTTTCCAACTGGGTGACCTCATGCAAGGTACTTTGGTTTCTTCCTCAGTATAAAGGGCAATAATTATAACCTATATCTCAGATGCTGCTGTAAAAGGTAAATTAGTTAACATAACTGAAAGTTCTTAGAACAGAGCCTGGCACACAGCAAGTTCTCCAGAAATGTTAGCTCTCATTACATCCCAGCTCTGATTCCGTTGTTGCCATGATCTTCAACAGCTTCTCTAAGACTCAAGAGACAAGAGCTCAGATCTAGGAAGGGAAAATGCTATTAAGAGGACCATCTGGTGTGAAGCACAAGGAAACTATTGAGTTATGTATCCACTTAAAAATAAATTTAGTTGGGGATACTTAAGAGACTAGACTTAAAACATTTGTTTTGAAATAGTAGGGTCTAAAGTATTGCTACTGAAAATCAGACTAGCCATGTGTTCTTGGCAGGCAGCCTTGCAATTAATCTCAACTTGGAGTTCTCATCAGAATCTGCTTTTCTACCCTGAAAATGGGCATGTTTATGATCCAAGTTATTATACAGATGGAGGAATAATCTTCACTGATGGAAAGAGCTATGCAAATCAATTTAGGGAATGACTAGTGTTTATATGGTCTATTTTTCTTGCTAGAAGAAAGAGCTACAACTCATTAACTTAACCCTTGGGGTGGGGAAAAATCAAATGTCAGGATTCATAGACTATTGTGTAATCAGTAATTTGGAGAGGCTGTAACCTTTTGTTTGGTTTTCAAAAGCTCAGATTTGAAGGCTCAAGAGTCAGCTTTTATTTTCCTTTTATGGTACTTGGTTCATTTTCTGCAAAGGTTCAATTTGTTGCCAAAGAGAATCATCGCTAATTTGAATAATTATATACTAAACTGTAGGGTAGAACTGAAATTGCGATTGATGGAGAGGCCTGGAAACAGAGCAAATTCCTCCCTACCGTAAGAATTACAGATTCTTATGTAACAAAACATGGCAGTATAAACAAGTATTTCCAATGGATTAAATTTATTTTGTAGGAAATAGGCAAAAAAAAAAAAGCTCAATTTCAGCCATAATGAGAGAGCAGCAAATTAAAACTACACCCAGGTACCATTTTTAAATCTTATTAGTTTGACAAAACTCTGAAAGTTTGACAACGCATGCTACTGGTAAGGCTGTTGGGAAACAGATTCTCTTAACTTGTTAATGACATAAATTGGCACTAAATCTGTGGGAAAATTCAGCAAAATCTATCAAAATTACATATTAAAATTGCATACGACCTTTGATCCACCAATCCCACTTATAGGATTTTATCCTAAAAGTTGCCTGTGCTGCAACATATACAAAGTTTTTTTTTGTTGTTTTGTTTTTGAGATGGAGTTTCACTCTTGTTACCCAGGCTGGAGTGCAATGGCGCGATCTTGGCTCACCACAACCTCCACCTCCTGGGTTCAGACAATTCTCCTGCCTCAGCCTCCTGAGTAGCTGGGATTACAGGCGCGCGCCACCATGCCCAGCTAATTTTTTGTATTTTTAGTAGAGACGGCCTTTCACCATGTTGACCAAGATGGTCTCGATCTCTTGACCTCGTGATCCACCCGCCTCAGCCTCCCAAAGTACTGGGATTACAGGCTTGAGCCACCGTGCCTGGCAAAACATGTACAAAGTTTTTTTGAAAAACTGAAATATAATTCACATGCCACTGAATTCACCATTATGAAGTATACAATTCAGTGATTTCTAGTACATTCATAAGGTTATGAAGCCATCACCACTATCTAATTTCAGAACATTTCATAATTCTTACCCCTAACCCCAAGCAACTGCTAATTTTCTTTCTGTCTCAATGGACTTTCCTATTTTGAGCACTTCATACAAATGAAATCATACAATATATAGCCTCTTGAGTCTGGCTTATTTCACTCAGCATAATGTTTTTAAGGCTCATCTATGTTGTAAAATATGCCAGTACTTCATTCTTTTTATGGCTAATATTCCATTGTATGGATATACCACATTTTATTTATCTACTTATCAGCTAATGGATATTTGAATTGATTCCACTTTTTGACGACTATGAACAATGCTAATCTGTGAACATTTGTGCACAAGTTTTTGTCTGAACATGTTCTCAATTTTCTTGAGTGTATGCCCAGGTGTAGAATTTTAGGTCATATAGTATTTCTGTTTTGCCGAAAGGCTATTTCTTTTCTTTTCTTTTTTGAGATGGAGTTGCCAGGCTTGGTGGCTCATGCCTATAATCTCAGCACTTTGGGAGGCCGAGGTGGGTGGATCACGTGAGGTCAGGAATTGAAGACCAGCCTGACCAACATGGAGAACCCCGTCTCTTAAAAAAAAAAAAAAAAAAATAGATGCAGTCTTACTCTGTTATCCAGGCTGGAGTACATTGGCCTGCAACCTCTGCCTCCTGGGTTCAGGTGATTCTCCTGTCTCAGCCTCCGAAGTAGCTGGGATTACAGGAGTGCATCACCACGCCCTGCTCATTTTTGCATGTTTAGTAGACACCCCAACTACTAGGGCCAACTTTCACAGTGTCCTACCTAATCTAAAATTTTTTGAATCATTAAGGTAGTAGAAACTATCTGCATATGTATTTTATAATATAAAGTACAAAATAATAGGAAATTTCCCAAAATTTTAAAAATTGGCTATTTGCAGGAGGCCCCTCTTAATCTGAGCTCAGCACTGCAGAAGAGTGAGGGTGGGAGCCCAGCCTGTGATGTCAAGTCAACCTTTATGACTAATAGAGAAACTCTTTGTAAGACATATTTCATTATATTATTCTATGTTTCTGTATGTTTGGAATTTTTCATAATAAAAGCTTTTTTTTTAAAAAAAAAAAAGATAATTTTTAAACCTGGTAACTTATTTGAAATTTGCCATAGTGAAATTGGTGGTCAAAGAAAGCTTTGTAGACAAATTTTGAAATATAAACTAGGTTTTAAAGGAAGGAGACTGAAGAAGAGGCACAAGGGAGTATCCGGCAGTAGTAATCAAATTCAATTCCATAAAGAGATACTGATCGTGATACACTGTGTCTAATAGGAGTAAATTTAGCTGGCTTCAAAGAGGTGGAAGTATGGCTGGGCGCAGTGGCTCACACCTGTAATCCCAGCATTTTGGGAGGCTTGAGGCAGGCAGATCACAAGGTTAGCAGATCAAGACCAGCCTTGCCGATATGGTAAAACTCCATCTGTACTAAAAATACAAAAATAAGCAGGGTGTGGTGGCAGGCGCCTGTAGTCCCAGCTATTCTGGAGGCTGAACCAGAAGAATCGCTTGAACCCAGGAGACGGAGGTTGCAGTGAGCGAAATTGTGCCACTGCCCTCCAGCCTGGGTGACAGAGTGAGATTCCATCTCAAAAAACAGGAACAAACCAAACACAAAGAGGTGGAAGTTTATTTCTCACTCATGCAAAAGAAGTCCGGAAGGGGCAGACAGGAATTGGCATGCCATCTCCATGTTGTCCCCAGGGAACCTCAGGATGTGCTCTTTCATCTCCAGCCTTACCATCCTCACGGTCATCTGATGGTGCGAGATGGCTACTAAAGCTACAGGCATCATTCTATATTTCATGAAGTGAGGGTGAGGTTGGAAGCAAAAAATTTCACAAAGCACTTCCATTTACACATTATGTATTGCACATACTACCTAATCACATGCCCATCCTTAGCTGCAAGACAGGCTGAAAAATGGCCTCTACTGAGAATATACTCAGCTAATATTCAGGGTTCTGTTATCATAAGGAAGAAAGAGATTGAATATTTGGTGGGCAAAAATAGTCCCTGCCACATTATACTTTGCAGGAAGTAAAAAATGGTAGGTAAGAGTGCTGGATGGTGTAACAGAAGCCAGACATGGAATGTGGACCCAGCCACGTAGTCATTATGTATTCATTGGAAAAGTTGCAACTGAAACTCTCTAAGTATCAGATTCTTCATCTGCAAATAAAAAGGGATTTGCTAATAAGAGAAAATAAGGTGTGTAAAGCACCTGGCACAAAGGAGGGGCTCAACAAACCTCTGTTATTTTACTCGTGATATATTAGAGATTTAGAGATTAAGGAAAAGATTTTCTCTGCCTGTAGGTAGTTAGCAAAAATATTGGACTGGAGAAAATAGGCCACTGATAAAAGCTGATGGAATTACAAACTCGTTATTTTTCCAGTTTCATTAACAGATGAGTTATATCATGGTCAGCAATATTATCTTCAAATATGAA